TCAAGGTGCACTCAGTATGGACGAATTTTTCCGTGTCTCGAACTGCAAGACAGCAAAAGAAATATGGGATACCCTGGTTCAAACTCATGAAGGAACGACTGAAGTAAAAAGATCAAGGCTAAATACCTTGAGTCAAGAATATGAACTATTTCGAATGCAGCCCGGAGAATCCATTCTTGACTTACAAAAGAGATTTGTGCATTTGACAAATCACTTAAATGCTCTTGGTAAAACCTTGACAAATGATGAACTCAACTTGAAAATCCTTAGATCATTGACTAGGGAATGGCAACCAAAGGTAACGGCAATCTCGGAAAAGAAAAGTCTCTCCGCAATGACTTCCGCTACACTATTTGGCAAACTTCAAGAATATGAAACGGAACTCGGTAGACTTGAAAAACATGAAAATTTAGAGAAGAAATCCTAAGGCATTGCCTTGAAAGTTGATTCAAAGGAAAGTCAAGATAAAGATGCATCGGAGGAAGATGAAAACTTCTTGCTTCTTGTAAAAAGGTTAGGAAAATATTTTGGTCATAAAAATAATCTTCATAATGCTAACTTTGTCAAGAGGAAGAAATTTTATAATCATAAAGATAAAGAAGCCTCCACATCAACACAAGATGTCACATGTTATGAATGTGGAAAGCAAGGTCACATAAAGCCGGATTGTCCAAAACTCTCCAGGAAAAATGGATTCAAAGGCAAAAAGGAATTCAAGAACAAAAAGGCTTATGTTGTATGGGAAGATAATGAGATAAGTTCTTCATCCGATTCAGAAAGCGAGGAATGTGCAAATCTAGCATTAATGGCTTCACATCACTCCGACAATGAAGAAGAGGTATGCTTAAAATCCACATCAAATGTTTGGTATCTTGATAGTGGATGTTCAAAGCATATGACAAGAGATGTACACCAATTTTCATATCTAGTACATAAAGCCAAATGGTATGTCACCTATGGAGACAACACCAAAGGAAAGATTCTTGGCGTTGGAATAGTTGGCACACCTCCATCCATTCAAATTGAGGATGTTCTCTATGTTGAAGGATTAAAGCACAATCTTCTTAGCATAAGTCAACTTTGCGATAGAGGGTTCAAGATCAAATTCAACAAAGATGAATGTCTCATTATGGATGAGGCAACCAATGAGGTAAAACTCAAAGGTATAAGAACTAACAATATTTTTATGATTACTTTAGATGATTTGTCTCTGAAGGTACAATGTCTTATGGTAAACAACAATGACGCTTGGTTATGGCACAAGAGGATCGCTCACATTCACATGGATCGCTCACTTAGTTATTGGTCTACCAAAGATGAAGTTCATCAAGGACAAATTATGTAATGCATGCCAAAAGGGCAAACAGACCAAAACAACTTTCAAATCTAAGAATGTGGTGTCTACTACAATACCACTACAACTGTTACACATGGATCTCTTTGGTCCATCAAGAACAAAAAGCTTGGAAAAGAACTTGGTATTTTGGATGAAGGTGATATCTAATGTTTCTCTTAAGATACACGTCTTAATTTTTATGTATCTATTTCACTCTTTTTTCCCATTCTTTTTGATGTTAACAAAGGGGGAGAAGAGTATGCATGTGTGTTGTTTTGTCTCAAAGAAATTGCAGGCCCAAATAAATATCAAACTCTCTCCAAAATTCAAAGAATCATGGACTTAGGGGGAGCATACAATTTAGGGGGAGCCTTGCATTTGCTCAACATGTTTGCTACACAAAACAACATGAACATTTCAAGAAATCGTTTTCAAGACTTGGTTGTCATCATCAAAAAGGGGGAGAATGTAAATGCAAGCTTCTCAAGTCATATTTAAAGCATGAGTTTTGATGAAGACAACATGGACATCAACTTTCAAAGGATGTGCAAAAAGCTTATCAACATCAAATAAAAGTCTTGAAGATTATTGAAGAATTATTGAAGAAATCATCAAAATGTCAAAGTGGTATAAATAATTCTTTAAATCTTGAATATAGATGTTCACAATATGCATTCATCAACATATACATATTCCATAACTTTAACATCAAGAAAAACTTTGTTTGAAATATCTTTCAAAATGTATTTTTGAAAATAAACCTTTAGGAACCAGTTCCTCCCTAACAGGGAACCGGGTTCCAGCTTTTCTCAAAAAACATGTCCCTGATTTTTGTATCAGGAACCGGGTTGTACCAATAGGGGAACTGGTTCCTGCATGATAAATTTGAATTTCAACTTATAACGTTCACTAAGAACCGGGTTCTGTCAGTGTCGGAACCGGTTCCTAGCGAACCAATGCAGCTTTTACTTTGTTTTTTGAACATTTTTCAAGTGGTATCTTTTCATGAATGCATTGCAACTTTTCATATGAATTGGCATGAATGAAGAGGTTCTTACAACTTTATAAAATGCAGATTTTTCTTTTTCAAACAATGTTCAATACTTCAATTTTCAAATTAAAATAAACTTCTTCATATTAACAATTTTCTCATTCATTCAAATTTGCTCATAAACTTTCATGTGTTCATAATTTTGTGAAACTTGCCATATACACTTTCATTATCATTACAAGTTTCATTCATACATTGTGAACATTTATATACATTGTTGAGAATTGTTTTTATCTTGAAGAAGAAGATCAATTGAAGATTGATAAAGCTCTCCATATACTTCAAACTAAATCATTGTATTACTTAAAGGTTTTTCCCTTACTATCCAGGATTGTTGGAAGTAAGTGTTGTGATTTGAAGAGGATTGTTCTTCATTCACATTAGTGTTTGTTTGGTCTTAAAGGTGTTAAGAACCTTTGATCACCCTATAGGTTAGATAGTAAGCATAGGCTGTACAATCATTCTAACTATAGTGAAATCTCTTTCGTGTTGGAAAGGGGACTGGAGTACTCTCGGATTGTGAGGGGAACCAGGATATATCACCGTGTTCTTTACTTTTCCGCATTTATCGCTTTCATCACCATAATCAGGAAAAGATAAAGATATAATCAAAACCTTCAAACACTTAACCAAAAATTACTACCAAGCATTCTCATAAAACCGAATAAATTTTATAAGACCTAATTCACCCCCCCTCTTAGGCACTCTGAGACTTACATCGCAAAGACCTGGAATTGATTTTGACGAGACTTTCTCACTTGTAATAGATTAAAGCACTTTTCGATATTTAATAAGCCTTGTAGTACATGAATGGCTTAATTTGCACATGATGGATTTTGTAACAACTTATCTGTATGGTTTACTTGATAGTGAAATTTACATGAAACTCCCTGAAGGGTTCAATGTACCAAATGCACATAATTTTGAATCTCGAGAAAACTACTCCATAAAATTGAACAAATATCTCTATGAGCTGAAACAATCTGGACGCGTGTGGTATAACCGTCTTAGTGAATATTTGTTTAGAGAGGGATATACAAATAACTCCATTTGTCTTTGTACTTTTATAAACAGATCAGGAAAAAAATTTACAATAATAGCTGTCTGTGTTGATAACATAAATATTGGAACTCCTAAAGAGCTTAAAAAAAACTATGAATTGCTTAAAGAAAGAGTTTGAGATGAAGGACCTAGGAAGGACAAAATTACGTCTAGGTTTACAAATTGAGCATTTGGACAAAGGAATATTTGCACACCAAAAAGGCTATATAAAAAGGTATTAAAACGCTTCTATATGGACAAAGGTCACCCGTTGTCTACTCTAATGGTTATTAGATTATTAGATGTAGAGAAAGATCCTTCCAGGCCTCGAGAAAGGGATGAAGAATTGTTTGGTCCTGAAGTACCATATCTCAGTGCGATTGGAACACTGATGTACCTTGCTAATTATACACATCCTGATATAACATTTGCGGTCAATCTATTAGCAAGATACAGTTCTTCACCTACATGAAGACATTGGAACAAAGTCAAACATATAGTTCGTTATCTTAGAAGTATAATAGACATGAGTTTGTTTTATACCAAAGTATTCAAACTCGAATTAACAGGTTATGCAGATGCAAGTTACTTATCAAATCCTCACAATGGTAGATCAAAAATATGTTATTTGTTTACATGTGGTGGTACAACTATTTTATGGAGATCGATGAAACAAACAATAACAACAACTTCATCTAATCATGCAGAACATTTAGCACTACGTGAGGCAAGTCGAGAATGTGTTTGGTTGAAATCCTTAATCTAACACATACAAAATACTAGTGGTTTGTCTTCAGGAAAAATAAATACAACGACCATATATGAAGATAATACCGTATGCATCACTCAATTGAAAGATGGTTACATTAAAGGAGACCGAACAAAACATATCTCTCTAAAGTTCTTTTTCACTCACGATCTTCAGAAGAACAATGATATAAACATCCAACAAATTCGTTTATGTGACAATCTTGCAAACCTTTTCACAAAGTCACTCCTAAGTAGAACTTTTAATCAACTAGTACAAAAGATTGATCTTCATCCTCGAAGAAATAAACGTTCAGCTGAGGGGGAGAAATAAATTTATTTTAAAAGGATATTATACTCTTTTTCCTTCACTAAATTTTTCTCCACTATGTTTTTTATAATAATGTTTTAACGAGACATATCCAAAACAAACATCCAAGAGGAAGTGTTATGAATAATTGAATGATTTGTCCCTCAATAACTTTATTCTTTATTTAATCAATTTAGATTTATTATATTGTCTATATAATGTCCTATAAATATACCCATTCTCATTATATACTAATTACATAGATGAAATAATATAAAATTATTCTATCTTTTTGTCTTCTCTTTTATTCCTTATTTCTTTATAGTTCATAACATATACCATTTTTATTTTCATTGATCTCTCCTACAAAGCATAAATACTTTTTAAAAAGATCATCTCATTTTTTGTTCTAAATTTATTTTTCAAAACCAAACAAAGCATAACATTACTCGTCTCTGCAGTCATCGCAGCTTTGGTTCAATTTGCTCCCGCCATTCATTTCTATCTGACAAACAATGGAACCAGGAACTTCTTCTTACAAGGTAACAACACTACTTTCTTTCAATCTAGGGTTTCCATTTTTCGTCATCATTGCATTCGTTCTCACCGTTCAATACTTACTCATCATCATTCTTTATGCTATTTGCAGATTATATTGGGTTCTTCCTCCATCGCACGCCGCAAGATTTTGTCCGAAATGGGATACCAATTCACATTAATGGTGCATTTTTATTCTATTACCTACAAGTTCGTTCTAATTTCACTTTTATTTTAGGTTTAATCTTTACTGTTTTTTTTTTGTAGACGGCAGATATTGATGAAAAGAGCATCCGAAAAGATACTCCAGAAGAGTTAGTTATGGCTCTTGCTGAAGCCAAGGTTTGTGTTTTATTATCTTTTTCTGTATATAATTTTACTCATTCTGCTTAATTTGAATCCGGTCGATGGCTCATTATAGGGTTAAACATATTGTTAATCCACTTGCTTTGGAGCTTTCCCTGTCTTGTTTGTTTCCCTTTGTTCTTAATGGAAGGGTGTGTTTATAGATCGGTTGCTCTCTGATTTTGAATGTGATATGTGCGTCAGGCCAATGCCATTATTTCCAAACTTCAAACTACCGGTAATCAAGAGAGAGTTGATGAACCGACGCTTTTAATTGCTGCTGACACAGTATGTTGTGTTTCCTTTTCTTGGCATTTATGCCCGTAGTCAAGTGTTGCTGATCACTAGGTTGGTTGTCACAACAAGGGCCATTTATTAATTGAGGATATACAGCTTCTTTTTTAGAGGGAATAGTGTAGTAGTGTACTACAGATCTGGCTTCTAAGTTTTAAAAAAGAACAAAAAGATGTTAGTCTTTGTGAAGCACAGACCATTGGCGAATTGCCGTTTTGGTAACCTTGTTATAAACACTTTGGTTTTTAACTTCTACCTTCTCCTTTTTGGTTTTCATGCAAATATCTGAGGGAAATACCAAATATCACAACAGGACAATATACTTAAGTCGTCATATTTCAAATTCAAACATTTTGAATTTTGAATGAATACAGCCCGGTTTCATTGAAATTTGACTACAAAATGATTATATATTTCTGTATTATTGAATGCCTACCTGCTCACTTTAAAATCATTTAAGAGCAAGACCTACATTTTAAGTTCCTTTGATTCAAAATTGCTCATTGTTTTCCACTGTTGCATCAGTGGTGTTTTCCCTTGTTTTCCCTGAAACAGATCCCTGGTGATATCATGTTATTATTTTATAAAATGATATTGTTTTTTTAAACTCTAATACTCACTTTCTCTGCGTTTAATTTTTTTTTTGCTTAGGCAGAAGCCATCTTACAGAGGCTCCCTGTTGGTGACTATTTAAAGGATGCCGAGCCAACTTTATTAATCACTTCTGACCAAGTATACATCACGTTCTTCTGAATTTATTTTCTAGCTTGCCTTTGTACTTCCTCTTTTGCATAAGCAACAATATTTTTGAGAAATTTTCCCGTTGAACGAAAAGTCTGAAAAACTTTTGTAATGCTGCCTCTAAAACCGTCTTTGTTCACTTGCTTCTTACCAGTCTTTTTCCCTCCCTCTTTCTATTGCTTGTCGTGGTTGTTAGTTGTGAAGTTTTGTCTTCATGGAATGTAATTCTCTTGTGTTGATTAGTAACCTAAATATGTCCATTGTTTAAACAAATTGATTCTTGGTGTTATAGAGGCCTAGATGACTTTCAGTCTTAATGCCTAAATGCCCATACTTGTGTGCTTGCTATCCTCATAAATAAATGGCTTTATGGTGACAACCAAGACTAGTTTATGGCAGCATTTGTTTTTATATATGTTTTGTCGTCATTTGCTTTTGGCTTACACTCACTGCCAAATGATTTGGAGGTGGTGGTCTATGAAGGTGTGATTAGGGAAAAGCCATCTAGCAAACAAGAAGCTCGACAATTCTTGAAAGGTTTGCTTCATGTTTTATTTCATATTTTCATTCATTTATCATCTAATCTAAGTAATTTTCTCTCCCTTCTTCTGTGGTTATGTTGTGAAATGGGAGCTTTCAACCACCTCCTATTTTCATATCTAACGCCTCTTTGCACAATTTCAGATTATTCTGGAAGGAAAGCAGCAACCGTGGGATCTGTATTAGTTACTAATCTTAAAACAGGATTGAGAAAAGGAGACTCAGATCGTGTTGAGGTATTATCTGCTCTTTATGGGTGATTATTGTTCAGCCTGTCTCTTATTTTATCTTACCTTAAGTGCAAAACTGATCCAATATCCAATGGTGGATCCATAAAACATCTGGGGGGAGGGGAGGGGAGGGGAGGTGAGCTTGACATGCATAATTATTTTAGATTATCTTATGTTTAAATATAAATTATAGAATTTTATAAATTTATTATATAAATTTATTAAATTGTTTATTTTTTATGGCTAAAATATGCTTTTTGGTCCTTTACCTTTTATTTAAAATTTATTTTGGTCTTTCAACAAAGTTATTTATTTTGGTCCTTTATCTTCGCAACGTTATATACAAATTCATCCTTTTACTCATTTATGTTGAAAGAGAGTTATGGTTCATCATTGTCAATGGGTTTAGCCTTCACCTTGAACCATTTATGATATAAGAATTTCTATCTTTCAAACTCCTGAATGAAGGAGGGCCTTCTAATGTTGAAGATGGGGCATTTGTCAAGACCACTTTGGATGATTCTTCAGTTTCTCACGAGTCTCCACTGTAAATGAGTACCCATTAAAAATGACGAATCCTAATTGAAAACAGGGAAATAAAGGGATTTTGGAGAAGAAGACAGCCACATCAGGGATTTTTTTTAATGTCACGGCCGCCATCTACTCTTGGAGATAAAGTGATGATGTCAAAATTGGTTCAAACTTTTGTATTTCAATATAAAGATATATCCATGTTCAAATAACTTGTCGCAAATGATCCTTTGTTGGGATGAAAGCTGACTTTTTACCTCTCTTATTTTTTATATTTTTGTGTACAGTGACCCTTTTACCTCTCTTACTTGTATCACCCACATGGTATTTTGAATGAATGCATGTGTAGCTATGCTCTTAACCTTGTTCCTTTCTTTGGGATAAATAATTGCAAGCGATGTTTATAGGAACTGGATCAGAAATTAAGAAGTAATGAATTTCTTTTTTGAGTGGATCCTTGTCCCTATTTGCACCAATTGGATCCAGAACAAGGATGGTCACATATCGTTGTTTATTCCTCTTTGACATGAATATTTCAACTGTTCACAAGACTCCCTTTATGTAGTGGAGGGGAAGTGGCTTCTTCCAAAATCGATAAACTTTCAAAAGTAGTGAATAATAATTTCTCATCTTTTAAATAGTCTTTGGACAATACTTCCGAAATTTGGAACTATTAAGGCCTTATAATTTTGGAGTTTTCAACAAAAATATGCATACGTATATTTTGGAAACTGAATGTGCCTTGTGATGTTTTACAGATCTATTTCAATGAAATACCTGATGAAATCATTGAGAAGCTGGTATGTGTTGGTTCTTTTAATTGATTATTTTTCGGAGGTCTCTTGAACATGCAAAGTTTATAATATGAACTCTCTTCAGTTGCTTAGTTAAGTATTTGAAATGATTTTTATCCCTTTCTTATTGTTTAGGTTGATGAGGGAATTACTCTCAACGTTGCTGGAGGGCTAATAATAGAGCATCCTTTAATATTTCCATATGTCAAAGATGTGGTTAGTTGAATCCTCTTTCATTCCTACTCAAAAATGTCAATGCATCTTACTTTAGACACAGGAGGCGGGTTACCTTGACCTTGGACTGCATTTCTCAATCTAGCCCTCATAGTTTAGTTTATAGATGTTTCCATCTAATATCTGGTTTAGTGAATCCATGAATTGGCATTTTTCTGTAGTTCACCAATAAGAATTATGAACCCGGTTACTTTTTGAATACGTTTTCTATTTTCATTTCTTAAAATTTGTGTTAATTTTACTTGCTAACAAGAAAATATCAGACTCTTAAGTAAACAACGTGTGCGATTTTTGGAAACAATAAAAATATCAAAAGATTGTTTTTAGTATTTTCTCTATCACAATTGTTTATTTTAAGAGTCTCTAATAAGTTAAATAAACATAATTTAGAAAAAATAAAAACAGAAAATGCTTTCACAAAGTAAACGAGATAGTATTTTTCATTTCGGAGGCGAGGACCCAAAAAAACTTTTGCCTTGGGAATCCTTGGGGGGTCTACTGGGAGTCGAAGACTCTAATTATAACAACTTCTATGCAAAAAATAATAATAATATTGACTGAGTTTAGCTGGCTAGAGATGGTTGGATAAAAAATCCTACAAGACAGATTAGTAATCTTTAGACCATGGCTACTTTAGCTCAAGGTTTCTTTAACACAAAAAAATGAACCAAAGCTGTTTTCGAAGTTTGCATGTTGATTTTCCTCAAATTTTATTGAAATTTCTATGTTTTCTTAAGTTAGTTGGTGTCAATAGGCTGATGGCCTGCACAAGTATAGTGCAACCGATATTGCTAGTTGCTTTCTTGCTGGGATAAAATTTCTCTCATTTTACTTCCTAGTTCTAAAAGACAGTAGATGATTTAAATATGGTGGTTTACAGGTAGGCACAACTGATAGTGTGATGGGGCTTCCCAAAGATCTGACTGAAAAACTCTTAAACGCAGTCCTATAATTTGCGGGACTGCTAAGTAATGGCTTATTTTGTGAGTCATGATTTTGGCTCTCTACAACTACATTTTTCTTGACTCTATATGCAGTGTCTTCTGGTATCAGTTATTTTTCTGATGAGGCAGTTATGTTAAATTAATATATGATGACTATCCTCATCAATGTATTTTGTTCACATTTTACTATTAGCATAGGGCTGTATTGTGACTAATTGGTTCATTAGAAAAAGAATCACGCCTGAAGTGTTGTTCATGAGAAATTATACAATTCAGATTCTACTGGAAAATTTAACTGTAATTGAGTGGAGTGGGTGGAAATACTATTTATATTGAAGGGTAATGTTAAAAAACTTTAAAATAACTTGAAAGCAATAACTTTTCAAAATATTAAGTTGAATGTACAGTTTCTTAAATAATATTTTCGTTTAAATTTTTTCTATATTAAAACGTTGAAAATCATGGATCCTCTAGTTATTTCAAGAATCTAAGAAATTTTTTCACCGTTTGTTAATTCACAACCATTAATTTATTTAAACTGTTTATTTTTTATTTTAATTTTCTTTAAAATAATATATTTTAATGGTTCTGATGCACTGTTGGTGTAAAAAAATTTACACTAATAATGCATAGCAATTAAACTCTTATTTTAATATGTTATGTCTGTTAAAAAAAATCATATTAATGTATTAATTGTATTAATACTATTATATTATTTATTTTAATATTCCTTTGTAGAGTAGTCAATATCCTTTGTAAATTTGTTGGGATAGTATTTTCAAGAGAAAACAAAGAAGCAGTCCTTATATAGGTTAAAACATTTTGTAAATGTTATAAAACCAAGAGCTAATAAAAAAGTATTGAGAATAAAAGGGTTAAATAATAAAGAATCAAAGGAATATAAAAATAAGTTGTGGTTAAAATAAATCGTAACAAAAAAAATAGAAAGGGTTAATAATGATATTGCTACCATAAACATATAAACTCAATTAAACCAGTAAATCATACAAAGTAGCATGATCTATGTACATACAAAGTATTGAGGTGTCTGAGGATTCTCATGGAAAAACACCATGATTGACAACAACATGTTGGACTTCTAGGGGTTCTAGGGTTGCGGTCATGGGAAGCAATATGGGACTCATGTTACCGAGAGGATGATGCAAGAGACATGTGAACTCTATAAGACGATGTTGCAACATCAAATAAAGTGGCACCAATGTCTGGAAGAAATGGTCTAACCTTTTCCCTCCAAACGAAAGGATGTTAGGACACTCTACCATGCCTCAATCTGTCTTGGTTGTCAGACATTTTACCTGTAATTATACCAAAAAATTATATCATAATCAAAGAAGTCAAACCCATAAGAACATGCAAAATCAAACAACATATGCATATTAGTAAAATCCATAAGTTAACTTATGTACCATATTGAGACCAGAAAAACACAAACAGGGCATGCCCAAATGCTCTATTTTCAAACATAAAAAAAAATACATGCATGCCTCATTAAGAAACCTATTATGCATCCTAATATACCATAAACAACCTATTATGTGTTTAACTTTAAACTATTGCATCACAAAACAAAAAAAAAATTAGAATGAATTTTTTACCGAATGTGAGAAGTTAACGGTTTTTTATTGAATGAAGTGGAGTAGATGTTGATTAATGTCTCAGGCTTGAATGCAATTTAATAGTAGTGAGAAAGCTTGCATAATGATAGAGACAGAGTTTGCTTAATAGTAGTGAGAAAGCTTGCATAATGATAGAGACAGAGTTTGCTCACGGGTTCTGCTTTGAGTTATGAGTAAACTTTTTGAAATGAAGAAGGAAGAAGGAATGTTTTACGTGTTATATAAATTAAACAAGCCTGTCACTTAACCTTCATATAAAATACAGAAATTAAACTCCGTAAAAAATACAAACATTAACCTCTAGATTTTTTAGCTTTGTTCTATCTTTGGTCGGAGACTTGATTGTGCTTGCATTTTTTGTGTGTACGGAGATTAAGTTCCGAAGTTTTAGGGCATTATTGATTTATCACTAGGTTGAGTGAGTACCACTAAGGGTATGAAGAGTAATTTCAAAAATATTATTATGAAGTCATAACAAATGTCTTAAAATTAATATCAATAATAACCAAATTAAACATACTCACTAAAATCACCCAACTAATAAGTAAGGCTGAACACCGATCAATTTTGGAAAATTCTGGGAAAAAACAAACAAACAAACATAACGATAGGGAAGTTATTAATGAAACAGTTAACAAGCCAAGAATGTGAATATTGTATGAAATGAAGAATAGGAAAGTAGTTAACAAAAGTTAATTGTTGGAAGAGGGAAAATAATTAAAAGCATTTAATTATTGTAAGAGGGGTTAACTATTTTACATGTGGGTTACAATTATCTTAAGGGGTTCAAAAGGCTCAGAAGTAGGTAATTAGAGGATTATCATCATTTTATATTTTTCTTTTAGCGGGGGTAGAAAGCACACATGACACTATGGAAGAGCATTGTGTTATGGGCATTTTGTATTTTATTGCGTCGCTCAAGAACACACTAGCATAGATATGACTACAAGCCGCCAAATATCAAGAGTGTTTGATCATAAGTGCTAAAGTTATGTAAAATACGTTGGTATTTATTGATTTATTTTACAAGCAATCAATACAAACAAACCTAATTTATCTATGAAAAGTGATTAAAAAAACATTTGTTTGGACTTTCTACTTTCTACAAGCAATGATCGCTAGACCATGCCCGTGGGCACGCTAGGTGAACATAGGAGAAATAAGACTTTTGAGCTAAGTAACTTCATGACGAAGGAAAAGTTTATGCGTTAAGCGAATATGGGCGATGGGCCTAACGAGTTAGGACAATTAGGACTAGTTGCAGGGTGAACTGACTTTTCTTAACCTAAAAGAAAGTAGGTGCGTTAGGCAAAGATGGGTTGTGCGCCTAACGGGTACCTTTCTCTAGCCTATAAATAAAAGGTCCGTCTTCAGTTTTTAGAGAGTTCTAGTGGATTTAAGGGAGTAGAGAAAACGAGTAGGCTCACTTTAGTCTCAACAAGAGAATGTGAGAGTGGGATTAAAGGTGGAAGGGCTGATAGGGTGACACTAGCAGATAACCTTCCAAGTTTGTCTTCTCGAGATTTCAATTACAACTAAGATGAGTAAGCGTAGCAGGAAATCTCTTTCTTGGGAGTATATGTAGTTGTTACTTACATGTTTCTATTTTACTACATCCCTGATAGATGTGTTATCATCAAAAAAAGGAGGAGAATGTGAAATTATGTGCTTGCAAGTCTAATCATGAAGTAATCAAAGCTCAATATGCCTAGCCTTGATAACATCATGTTTTGATGATGATAACTCATGAAGATGCAACATTCCTTAAAGTGACTTTGATGACAACTACACATGAAAACAAGCACGTGCTAAAGTTGGTTCAAGGGGTCAAAGATGCAAAATATGGTTGATCAAGCTATTCCTATGAATCAAGCTAGGGTTTAAAGATTACCAAGGATACCCTTTGATGAAGGCGTCTGACTTGAAGATATCTCAAGTTTCACATCCAAGAAGATTCAAGTGAAATGCTTATGTGAATGGTTTATTTGGCAAAGGACTTGAAGCTCAGAGTGTGAAAGAGAGAAAGTGTGAAAGTTCGTCTGATCGTGTCTATCTGAGTGATCAATGTTTTGTAAAAACACAAGGCCCTTTCGTAAAGTAGTATGGTTAGATTATTCACTCAATAATTTTTTTCGAAGTCTCTATTTTTTAAAATAAAATAACCTAAAATGGGTATTATTGTGTATGGCTAAAAATTCAAAGCCCTTTCATAAAGTGGTATGGTTAAATTACACTCAATAATTTTTTTTTCAAAGTCTCTATTTTTTAAATAGAATAACCTAAAATGGGTATTATTGTGTATGGCTAAAAACACGAGGCCCTTTCGTAAAGTAGTATGACTAAATTACACACTCAAATAAAAAATTTCGAAGACCCCTTCACATATTTTTAGTCACAACACTTTGAGAAAAATTCCGGTGTTTAGTGTTGAAGTTGTTCCAGAATGTGTATTATTGTAAATTCACCAAGAGTTCGTTTTCTTATTGAGTGAATTTTTCTTCCTTAAAAAGTGTTTGTTTGAGTTTTGAGCTAAACTTGTGAAAGGCTTTTTTTTGGGATTAGTGTTAATTTTTGTTTGGTTGTGAGCTCTTCCACTTGAAGAAAAGTTCTCATTATGGCTTTATGAAGATATCTAGTGAAAAATCTTCATATTAGTTCTTGAGCTCAGCCTAGTATAAAATCTCAGTCAGTTCGAGATTAGTCCAGTATAAAATCTTAGTTCAGTTTGTGGTCAGTTCGGTAAACCTCTATACGGTTTAGAGGATAGCCAATTGAAAACTTGATTTGAGATAAGTCCTTACATTTTTTGAAGCATAATCAGATGATTTAAGATTCATCATATTAATTAGGACAAGTTTTTGAACTTCCTAATAGATTAGACCAAGTACCTAATCGATTAGGTAAGGAAAAACAAGTCTATAACCGATTATAACAGTGTCTTAATAATGGTAACGATTCTATATCAAAACTTCTAAATTGGACTAAAAAAATTGATTATTTGTGGTGCCTAATCGATTAGTTTTAGGATCTAATCAATTGGGTGAGTTAATTTTGCTCATGGATCGTTTCCTTTTTTAACCATCATTTGGCCTATAAATAGAGGTCTTCCCCTTCATCTTTTTCATCCAGAAAACGTGAGATATCTCAGATTCTTCTCTCTCAATCTCTCGCTAAAATATCTTTTATTTTCTCACATATTTTTAGTCATAGAGCTTTGAAAAGTTTTCTTGTTTTTAATATGGAAGTATATTTGGAAGGGGAATTATTGTAAATTAAGAGTTCTTTTTCCTCTTGAGTGAATTATTCTTATTAAGAAAGTGTTTGTTTGGGTTTTGATCTAAACATGTGAAAAGCTCTTTTTGAGGGATTTG